CGGCGCGGGCGAAGCAATCCACAAGTCTTATAATCCATAATGACTAAAGCCATGACTAGAACCATGACTAGAAGATATTTTTAGTGTTGGGTGGTCGGTGCGCCTCAACATTGAAACAACAGCATCCGATACACCGGAATACACCCCTCCTTTTTCCTCCTTCCACCCCCCCCCACTCGAGCATGGTGATGGCGGGTGCAGCCAGGGGTAGGGGGTCCGGGGGTGAAGGGGAGGATGTTGTCTACTTCACAACCACAAGAGGAGAGCAGAACAGAAATTGGACACAGCTGCGGAGAGCGGGTGTGTGTGTGTGTGGGTTGCGGAGGGGAGGAGTGGCGGTCGGCAGCTGCTGCAGGGAGGGGGGTGGTGGGGACTAAATCTCCGAAGGGGGCTACAACTGGGCGGTGAAGCTGCAGTCGCAATTTGTTGATTGACCTTGGCGGGCAGCAGCACGAGGAGAAAGGGGCAGGAGGAGGAGGAGGGGTGGGGAACTGGAGGCATGGTTTGAACTGGTGTCTGAACTGTTTTCGGTGGTGGTGGTGGTGGTGGTGGTGGTGGCAACGTTAGTGAGACACCTTCGCTGACCGCGGGTATAATGCGAGGTTGGATGAGGAGGTGGAGGTGGAAGAGGTGGCGGTAGATAAAGCGATACACACCATACGTGGCCGGGATACTAGGAATCTATGATGCTGGTGGAGAAGCGGAGGAGGAGTAGAAGGGCAGCAGCATGAACGCCATGGCTGCAGTACGGCATACACTTAAAACACACACACCGATGCAGAACACGCACGCGCGTTGATGAGGGGAAGGGATGTTATGTGTCGAACGTGTGCGAGGTTGGGGCTGTACGATTGTCTGTACTCGACTTGGACGACGACAATGGTGCTGGTGGCTGCAAGTGGGGCTGCACAAAGTGAGCGCGAGCAGGGTCAGAGCCTTCGCTTTAGTTTTCTGTGCGCGTGTGTGTGTGTGTGTGTGTGGAAGGGGGGGGAGGGGAGAAGGGGAAGTGGTTTGAGTGGTGGCTTGAGGGAAAGAGGAGACAAGGGATTGACTAACGGGCGTATGCGTATGAGGTACATATGGTGGTGACAGTGGAGGTGGTGGTGGTAGTGGTGGCGATGGTGGTGATGGTGGTGATTGCGCTCTTTTACTTCGCTCCACAGCGCGCCGCGACACCCGGCCCGGCGTGAGTGTGCCCGAGCCGAGGGTTAACGGAGCCCCCGCTGTGCCGCTGGAGCCGTAGACATAAGCCGTGAGACAGATATTTGTGTCTGTATGTGTGCGGTTGGAATAATGGTGGATGCGTCTGTTGTGTCGGTGAGGTCGAGAGGAAATGGCGGGTTCAGGAAGCGGGGCAAGGATAAGCCGAGGAAGAGGGAGAAGCGTTTGTTGGTGGTGATATGTTTGACGGTCATCTCTATCTTTCCGTCGACAGGCCATCTCAGCTGAAGCCAGCAGAACTAAGGATTATCACGCCACACAGGATTTGCCTGACGGCATTTCCATAAAATGCCGCAATTCACATAGGCGCGCATCAGATTTGCAGGTTTTTGCCACAGTCTCCGCTGTTCCGGTTTTCAACCTCCCTTCGCCCTGTTTTTGTTGTGGACATTCCCACTTAAGGCTGTTTGCAGATTGAGAACCTTTCGCCGCAGGGATCCAACCGTAGCTTGTATATAATGTCTCGTCAATGTACCCAACGCGTGGACTTTCAGTCAGGTCCATGCGGATTGCAGCTTTGCCTTTTACCGTTTCCTTGTACATTTGGACCATCCAGGAAATGTGGGCTGTACAATGCGAACAGGTTCCAAGCTCCTTTTTCCGTACGCAATCAGCCGGCAAACATGAACGCATGAAACGGCGTGGAAGTTGACGTCCACCATTGCCATGTCCTTGAACCGGCCCGATTCCGTCAGCTTCAGGGCCGGCACGGGGGAACGGGTATCAAGCCGTGGGACGACGTCGACCCGGACCTTCGCGAACTGATTCCTGATCGTGAGCGCCTGTTTAAGCTGCGTTGACAGCTGCTAGGCGATAGCTGGAGTAGTCCGCACAAGAAAACGGCCAGGGCGGAAGAAAACGTTCCCGCCAAACTCGTGTACTAGCATCGGCACGATTTCCTGCTC